CCCTCAAATTTTTATATAATATGTGACATAGAATATACAGTATACGAGGTGTGTTGAAAAAGTAAGGGACCTTTAAGTTTTATCAAATAGTATTTAACTATTTATCAAAATTTGTTGTGCCCTTCACGGTAATCCAGCCCCCAGATAGAATACACCTGAGCCAATATTTTTTCCAATCCTTGAAGCACATTTTGGTATAGCCTAGTTCTTCCAGCCATGTTTTCTTTATCTTCTCAGTCGTTCTAAACCTCCATCCTATCTAGAGTTTTGGGAACAGGAAAAATTAACAGGGTGCTATATCGGGTGAATATAGTGGGTGTAGCGAGTTTGCAGTTCTGATTTGGGCCAAAAAGTTAGACAAGCAACGATGACTGAGCAGATGCATTATCGTGATACAAAATCTATGAATTTTTTTCCCACAATTATGGACGTTTTCTTCGCATCGCTTCTCGCAAACGGCGCCTAACTTCAAGGTAGCCGTACGACATTGTGGTATAAATTCTTGGTGTACTACGCCACGATAATCAAAGAAAACAGTAACACAAACACACACAAACGGTAAAGCCTTGACATTTGATCGAACGTGAAGTGCTTTTTTCGGTCTTGTTCTTGAACCGGGACGACTGAGCTGCGGTTTCGAACGCCATAACTATATACCCATTGACGTTGACTCTTGAGCGATGCTTCTTCGACGGTCCTTGTGCTCAAAATGAAGCAGTTTCGAAACAAATTTTACTGCTACACGTTTCATGCCCAATAAAGATGCTCTTCAGCCACTTCTCAATTAGTGATTCCAGTATTGTTTAACAACATTCGTTTCACTTCCTCAACGCTTACATCAGTCCGAGGTTCATGAGAGCGAGGTTCGTCATCGACATCTTCTCGACCATCTAGTATCAGCTTGAACCACTTATAAATATTTTTTTTCAACATTTCAAGTGTTTTGCAGCACTGTATTCCATTTTTTTACACAAAATTTTATGCAAATTCTTTGTTTCATTTTTGTTTGACGGCGGAAAATCGTCGAGCACACAAACCACGCCTAATGTTTCCGTCTTTAAAAAAAAGCAAACGTGCAAACTGGCTGAAACTGTGAACATACAAAACATAACCTAACAAAAAATATATTGAGGATCGAATGTACGCAGCCCGCCAAATTACAAAAGTCACCTTACTTCTTGAACACACCTCGTATATTTTGGGATATTGTATTTATATTTTGACAACTAGTTGCCATAAATATTGATTACGTTTTGAAAGGAATTTGATAGTGGGTTGCACCTCCACGTTATCAGATTCTGTAACTCTACCATGACATGGAAGTTGTGACAATCGATTCATCCTCTTACTTATCACATCCCACACATGTTCGACAGGCGATGTCCGGTAACCTTGCAGGAAACAATAGTTTCGAGTAACTGCAGTCCTGCCCCCAACTGTTATGGTCCTGCAAACTAGACCGCACGCTTCATGCGAAATTGAAAACGACAGATTCCGTTCTTGATTTCATTAAATCGATCTTGAACCCAAGCCAGAAACATATGTCCATTGCCATCCATTGTGAGCTGAAATCGGGTCTTCCATTTTTTCATATCATTTTCTATCCCTATTCTTAAATTCTCACCAATTTAACATGATGCGAAATATTCAACTTGTAGTAATGAAATAATTGAGTAATAATAGTGAACTCGGTTCCTTCTTTTGTAATACTTTTTTTAATTGATTTATTCGAATTGCTATAATTGTTACACAATCTACGTATTGAAACTTTTTGAAATAGTTCAATGTCGACAAGTAAATATTTACCCAAAAAATACGCACTAATTTTGTCATCAAATATATCGCCGCTTTGTTTATTTTGTCGAAAGTGATTAGGTTCATAATAAGATTGTGAATATAATTGAAATTTGGCAAATCTAGCGTATAATCGGAATTTTTAAATCAACGTACACAAGTGGATGCGCAAGACATAGAATTGACATAGAATAGGGTCTCATTTTGGATTTTATTTAATTTCGTTTTGAACAAAACATTTATAGTTTTTGCACCCCCTGCTGTCCTGCGTGGGTTAAATTTGTTTTAAAAAAATGTTTATCGCAATGGAAAATGTGACCGATAATTCTTTATGGCACCAATTGGTATGAACATCCTTATACGTAACCATAAACTCAGATTATTTTACAAGATATTTTTAAAGATTAAAATAACAATAAGCTCGTAATTGACGAATCATATTCTGGAATTCTGATTGACTATTAATTTATAAAAACGTATTTAAGCCTAGAACTCCCACTATAGGACTAGGTTTAGATTATGTTTTCCTAAAGAAAAGTGATACGTATCCGAAATCACTGCCGATATTTGCATATTTTCCTGTGAAAACATCGTATATTTCTAATATTTGCCATTTTTTCACCGACTACACAGTATTCGCCATTATTTGACACCGGTTAATTTTGAAAGATAGAAAAAAAAGTGTAAATACAAAAGTTTGAAGATTTTTGCTTAATTATCTTATGCAAATGTCAGAAAAAAGAAGCGACGATCGCAAGCTGTCACAATGACAGCAACATTATTTTTTTAAAACAGAATTCCCTATATATTATTAGCTTAAATCCTAGGTCTTTTTTTTATTTCAAAAACATGTAGTTTATTGACATTTGATTTAGCCGTTTTGGAGATATTTCATTTTAAAAGTATCATTCGATTTCTGTTTGTTTTACTTTTGACAAGTAGTATACTGAGGAAGAAAAACGCTAAATGATAAAATTATATTATTCAAACAATAACAATATCAATAATTAATGCTAAACAACTCCCAAATAACCTCCATTATTTTCCATACATAAGACAATATTTCCTTTCAATTTTCTATTAATTCACGAGGTGCTAAAATCAGGGTTTTCTCTGTTTAGATTTTGGTTAAATTTTGAATTGGAAGGAACATTGCACATTTGAGATAATTTTTTTAAGTCAGCTATAGAATATTCAGGATTTTCTAAAAAATATAAAATATAAAAATTAAGAAAGTGGAACTCAAAGTCATGATGTCAAGTGCCATAAGAGTATAATAATTTAGCTCGAAATTAAAATAATATATTGAGGTTTCATCAAAAGTTCTTTCTATTGTTCGGGTCTTCCGTGTGACACTAGTTCGGTCCTCAAATTGTTTAATTGCATTTTAAATTGTATTTATTGAGGGAACTCTTCTACCCGGATGTGTTTGTCGATTTTCCCTTTTAAGCTGAGTTATCTGACAGACTTGACCATTTTTAAATAATATGGTTGTTGTCCAGAAATCGAATGATAATTATTTTCCAACGGAAATACCTCAAAAACGACTAAATGAAATGTCAAAAAGAGCTACAATTTAAACTAATAGTATATAGGACATTAAATTTAAAAAAAAAGTTGTTGCTGTGATTTTCTGACATTGCCATAAGATAATAGAGCAAAAATCTTCACACTTTTGTATTTACACTTGTTTTTCGATCTTTCAAAATTTATCCTGTAGGTGGGTGTCAAAATATAATGAATTACCCTGTACAAAAAAACATAAATACTAAAAAAGATTGAAGAACTACCTAAGTTTTAGAATAGAAAGTCCCAAGAATTCTGAGTTTAATAAACATATTGTATGTAAACATTCATTGAAACTGCTGACATGGTGCGCGCATTATATTTTGTACAAAATCGTTACAACTTAATAAAAGTAAACTTGAGTCGTCAAACAAGAAATATTTGTTGGACATAACGGAAATAGTATAAAAGAAAACTGTACAACTGAAACAACATCCAATTGATATTAAAAGCGACCAAGAAAATGATTAACTGCGATTTAAATTCTAAAACTTATTTCGCCGTATGTTGTAAGTCTTTTGAAATTAGTCTGGCAAAATGTTATTTCTTATTATCTGTACAGGCTCCAAATAATGGATAAAGAAAAACATTGCCGAAGTAAGCCGCCCAAAAAGTTACTAATAATTTCAATAGCAAAATGAAGAACGACAACCATTAAGGTTCAATCATCGGACATACTAGCTTTAAGGAATTAGAGTTTGAGGTCGAACCTTTAACCAAATGGCACCATTCATTCACCAACCGGAGTTGTTGACCGGAGGGAGAAACATCGATTTTTTCCAGAAAATTTACGTTTTCGCATATTTCACATAAAAAAGTATTATCGATAAAACTTAGGAGTAACACAAATGAACTTAATAGCCAAGTAATCGAGTACGAACACCTACGAAGTTGATGTCAAAAAAGATAAAATTCGGATACATAATATTTGCCAATCAATATAAAAATAAACTAGTACATAATATTCTCTCTGTAGCAGCAAACGTAATCAAAAGATAATATTATCTTAGTGTCTCTTACGGGCTAGTATATCCGAAAAAAACTAGCAATGAAAATGCGGTTTTGGTTTTGGTTGGAATATCTGGGCAAGTTAGCTCAGAATAACTTCAACACCAGGAATCGAAAAATGTCTTAACTAAGCAAGTTGACGCTCCGAATTTTAATTAACTTAAATGTCAAATGTAAAAACTGGTACATTTGAAAGTCAAAAGCTTAGCCTTTAATTTCAACTTATAGAATGTAGTGATGTTTTAGCATAAGAAAAAGATATAAGTATAATCTTTTTTTTTTCAGAGAAACTTTCACAGGCCACTGTAATACTTTTCATGAAATTTCTGGATTCCTCCTGCGTTGGTCAGTTTCAGCCACGCTCTGAAGAAGCCAGCAGGATGATTGGCGAATCGTCAGCAATTTCCACTCAACAAAAACCGACGCAGGAGGAATCCAGAAGTTTTATAAAAAAGTAAGAATAGTCTTCTTACATTACCTCTTCAGTTTTCCCTTATGCAGATTCTATTATTATTTAATTTTGGGAGTTGTTTCGAAGAATCAAAAATCGGATTCTGTAAAGCTACGTGAATTAATGAAGCTACCGTCTCTTAGTACGAAATCTTATCTAAACCCGCTACTCAATAGAACACTTCAAAGTTTATTTTTAAAATATTGGGAACTATAAATTGTGCAACCGTTTGAATGTTTTATTCAGTTAAGCGGTAACCAATAGGCGGAACCTCAAAAATGAAAGTCTACGTCGCGATTTTCACCTCCCTCTTGGCTTTCCAGGTAAGCTACTGCTAAAGAAAATTAAGCCATAAAAGAATTTTATTACAAATTAAGATGAAGGAGTGCTACTTTGAGTGATTGATTTTTAAACCAAATCCTTTGATGATTATCAACCGCGAAGCATTTTTTTAGGCCACCCAATCGGCTAGTGTGACGCCGTTCGACATCGGAGACGTTGTCAGACCCCTATTCAGCGCGTTCGTGAACGGCCTGAGTGAGTTCGAGCAGAATGCACAAAAGCAAAACCAAGAAATCCTGGCTAACATCACGGCGGCTACCGAGAATATTCTGGAACAGAAAATCAAAATCGCCGACCAAATTTTCGATGGCAAGTACATTTTTATAATAAAATTTTATTGATAGCCTTCGGCTTCAAGTGGAGCAAAATAACCAAGGATCAAAAATAGTCATTTTTTCTAAGAATTTTATTTATTCTTCTATTCCTCCACGCCTTATATTTTATTATAACTAAAAAAAAATCATTATTTTTCATTTTATCATAAAAACTTTAGTTTAATTTGTCATTTGAACTTATGAGAGGCTGAAATCTTGGTTGCAGTTTGAAAATGCCACACTAAATTCACAAGTTTATGCCATATTATATAGTGTTTTTTAAATTTATTATATGGTATTATTATTATTAAGTTTTCAAAGAAACTTCCTTTTTGCTGAGTCGAAATTGCTGACGTTTCGCCAACCATCCTGTTGGCTTCTTCAGAGCTTGACTAAAACTGAGTTTGCGAGTTTCAGTCAAGCTCTGGAGAAGCCAACAGGATGGTTGGCGAAACGTCAATAATTTCTACTCAGCAAAAACCGACGCAGTAGGAATCTAGAAGTGTTGGTTAGTTTTTGACAGATGCCAAAAGTTTTATACCTAACTTATGAGTTGTCGCAGTCGCAAAAACATTACTCAAACTTCATGTAAGATAATTAATAATAGAAATTGATAAAAACAACAAAATAGGAAGTACATAATTATTTTGTCCCATTTTAACGAAATGTTTTAGTAAATATTAAGTTGAACACCACTAATGGAAATTTCTAATTGTTTCTAAATATTTTGTGGTTAATTAGAATTGGTCACTTTTGTGTGTATGTTAAGATTGTTAATTTTAGGCAACTATAGACCAGATTAATCAAAACAATTCATCTTTCGAAAATAGGTATAGGAATAAAAATAAAAATAATAATAAATAACACACATAGTCATTCAATGCCATCCTTGGGGTTCTTTTTCTTACTGGAGGCAATTTTTCACTGATGTTCCTATAATTTGTTTAATTAATGTTCAGTTTTAAGCCAAATTGTTCACTTTTCTGTATTAGTTGCTTAATGAATACGTGATAGAGGAGCAGACTCAAATTTTCAAAAAAATCTGTTTTCGGTCCTCTGTAAACCTCTAATCCATCTAAACCATCGACCGATACCTTTGGCACATTCACAACAACTGCTAAAGATGTTCTGTCAAAATTTCCACTAACTAGCGATCCTACAGGCGTAACAGATGTGCTTAACTCATTCCTGTCCGGAGTGAGCGAAAATGCCAACGACGCAGGCAAGGTAATAATCCAATGCGTGGAGGCGGAAAAGGAAGACGCTCACCAAGTGCTCGTGGACACCGTCACCGACATCACCAGCTGCGAAAACCAAAACCTCAAAACTCTGGCCGATGCCCAAGCCGCGGTGCTCCAACCCCTGGGCGTTTTGGTAGACAAGCTGATACCCATAAACGACGATCTTCAACAATGCATATTCGGAGACCTGTGCCTGCTCTCTTTTTTGCAAAGTTTGTCCGAATTGGGAGACGATGCCAATCAACTCGGCGATGCTCTCAAATCTTTGATCGCCACGGTAGTTGAGTTCGCGCAAGAAGCCGCCGTGTGTGCCCAAAATGAAGACGACACGTTGCAGCAGCGTGTGGAAGACGTTTTCAACAACGCCGCTGCTTGCATTCAAAACAGCTTTTCTTCCAACAACCAGCAACCCACAACCGACCAACCAGCAAGCGAAGCACCAGCAAGCGAAGCACCAGCAAGCGAAACACCAGCAAGCGAAGCACCAGCAAGCGAAGCACCAGCAAGCGAAGCACCAGCAAGCGAAGCGCCACCCAGCCCAACGACCCAACAAAGTTGAAACGGGCAATATTAATAAATAGTTAATTGTCGTTATCGTATACACGATTTTGAAAAAATGTTTTTTCTTCTTCTTCCTCCAAAATACTCAACTATACACGAATCAAGGGTGCAGGGGTTTTCATAGATATTAGCTAAAGCTTGAATTTTGAAGATACTCGTACTCAAAATTCACATTTATAATTTTTTGATCACAAGCATGAAAAAAACTAAAAACCCAAAAATCAGTAAAGAGAGCGCAGAACATATTACTCGGACGCCCAACGAAATTCAACAAGCTGCCGCCGAAGCTACAGCAGTTTACCTATTAGCGAGTCTATGAAAATTTTGATAAGTGAAGGAAAGGAAACTGTAAATTCTTTTTCATATCGCGGATACAGTGACGCCTTATTTCTTGAGTTACAGTGCTGTAAATGATATATCAGGTGTGTTCAAAAAGTAAGGCTATTATTGTAATTGGGCGAGCTACGTATGTTGGTACACATATTCCTAATATATGTTCACAGTTTCAGTAAGTTTGCACGTTTACATTTTTTTGTCAGTCAGAAGGGTTCGGCGTGTTTTGTCTGCTCGGCGATTTTCTGCTGTAAAAAAAATGAAACAAAGATTTTGTATAAATAAAATTTTGTGTAAAATATGGAATACAATTTTCTCTAGGAAGCTAATCACTGCTTTGCATGTGTATTCTTTACAGACTTGGCAAATAGGAATTCTTTCAAGGCACAGATAGCGGCTATTAGGTAACAGTTCCCCTTTGTGATTTTAATAAAAGGGCCTAATTGGTCAATATGTATGTTATCCAGTGGTACTGCTACTTTTTCTATTAGATTCAGGTACCCCTCTTGCTTGCCAGAGGTAGCTTTATTGTAGGCGCATGGCAAACATGCAGAAATGTATCGAAAAACGTATTTTCTCATTCTTGGGAACCAGTAATTGGTACTAATGCTCGCCACATTTTTATCAGTGGCGAAATGGCTTTGGTTGTCGTGGTGATAAATGGTTACCACTCGTCTTGCAGCATTCGGAACGTACCATTTAGCTCCATCGGGTAGTTTTCTATACAGCCTGTGGTTTTAAATTTCATAGTTTTGTGAATTTTTTTGTCATCAGAATCAGTTGGTTTTCTAGACAATACTTCCAATAAATACTTCCCCCGATGGTCCTTTATTTGGGCAGCTAGAATCCAATCATCACGCATTATAACTGAATTGTTAGGTTTAGGGTCCTCGACAGGATTACGACTTAAAGCATCAATATGTGCCATTTTAGTTCCTGGCCAATATTCTACTAACAACTTGAATTCCTGAGTGATCAATAAGATTTCGTTTTGACATTGCTGTTCTCAGTGCGTTACAGTCTGTTATTATTTAAAATTCGATTCGAAGCAAGTAAACTCGAAATCTTTGAAGTGTGTTGTGTGTGTGTTGAATGGTAACGTTCTTCTTCCTTAGTGGTATGACGACTGAAATATTGAGCGGGTTTTACTCTACCATTTTCTTGTTTTTGTAGTAGAATCCCACCAAGTCCGAATTTGGAAGCATCCGTATGGACCTCAGTTTCCGCTTTTGTTTAGTCATATATAGCAAGTACTGATCTTTCTGTTAAGATTTTCTTCAATGTTTCAAATCCATCGGCTTGATATTTTTCCCACTTTAATAAAACATTTTTTTTTGTCAGAGAAGTTAATGGTCGTGCAATTTCGGCAAACGATTTCACGTATTTTCCAAAATAACTGCAGAGGCCAACGAACTGTCGAATGTTGTTGGCGTTTTTGGGCATTGAGAAATTCTTTACTGCTTGGATTTTTATAATACCGGGCCGTGTACCACTTGCACTAATCTCTTGTCCAAGGTAGTCGATATGGGTTTGAAAAAATTGGCACTTTCCAATCGCAACGTAACGCCAGCTTTTCGGAAAGTTTCTAGTACATCTGCAAAAGCGATCAAGCCGGAATTGAAACTTGTAGATGGTAGTAGCACGTCGTCCATATAAGCTAATGCCGCAGAAAACCTCATAGCACCCAAAATTTTATTAATCGTTCTTTCAAACATGTCCGGGGCGTTTACCAAACCAAAAGACATACGAAGATATTCATGCTGCCCATCTGCGCAGTAACGAAAGCCGTTTTCTGCCTCGAGTCCTCTGCCATGGGCATGTGGTGGTACCTACTAGCCATATATAAAGTAGTGAAGAATTAGCAGCACTTAAGCACTTTACCGTCTTTGCGTTTAACGCACGAAAAACTACGCACATTCTTGTTGTTTTTCTTTTTGACCAAAATAATGGGGCTTGGGGGCGGAATAGATTCCTGGATTATGTCGGCAGATAAGAGAAAATTTATCATGTCACGGACCTTTTCTCTTTCTTTAAATGACAGATGATAGGGCCTGTAAGTCACTGGTTTGTTGTCGGTTAAATGAATAGCCATTTCTACCCCCTTTATTATTCCTAATTCACCAATATTCTGAGGGAAACAATCATTTATTTATGCTAACTCGATTATCTGTGTCTTTTGCGATACATGAAACACCCCGTAAGAAGATCTGACCTTCCGCAAAAATCAGCGGACTCTCGGACATATTTAAGATCGTAATTGTGGCCACTCTGATTGATGTTGAGAATCACATATTCCTTGGTAGGTTGGAATGACTGACGTTTGTCGACATCACCGTCGTATTCATTAGTAGTAAAACATGTCACAAATCCTACGTGGTGGGTGGGGATTTCCACCTTCTGTTTGGCTCTGAGCGTGATATTAATAGGCAATTCATCGATTTCGGGAAGGTCCGCAATTTTCGTGGTGAATAGCCGCACATTGCAATTCTTGACCACAGTTATTACTTCTGGATTGCTTAAAACTGAACTGTCGATCAGAATAGACATAGTATGAAGATGATCCGGCACAACATACACAGGTTCACTTTGGCGATACCCGAGACCTTCGATCTTCCTCCGGCAAAACCATTAAAGTATACTTCATCATCTGCTTCTCTGATTGCGACTACTCCCCCTAATCCCCTAAACGAATATCCATTTATATATTTTTTTTGAGTATCGCAGATTAGTGTTTTGTGCTCGTTCGGTTTGAGACGGTTATTTTTGTTTCTGAAACATTTCTCAACTGGATGTCCTAGTTTTTTTACAGAGAGAACATTCTTGTCTTGGTTTAGGACAGTGAGTTTGCATATAACCATTTTCATCACAGTTATAACATTTACCACTTGCTTTTCGTTTAGAGTCTGGTTTTGACTGGTTTTCTCGGTATTCTGATCTGTTCTCATCTGGTTTCTGTGCGAAATTGTGTTTTCTTTTGTGTGTGCACTTTGGTATTTGGTATTGTCCAGAGTCGACAAATACTCCCGATAGAAGTCCGCTGGAGAAACGTACCTCCCAACTTTTGCTCCAGATTGAATGGTTTTATCAGGAATACCGTCTATTAACATAGCGACTGCATTTTTACCGGTTATTTGGCACTGCCTCAACATCTGGTGCTTTGCAAAGTAGTAGTTTCCTCTGGATTTTTAACTCTGAGTATGAGATTTTTAAGATTTGTCGGAAAGTCCTGATGATCAGGGAAAGCCTGGATAAGTAACTGCTTCCATTGATCTCACGAACGTCTATAAGCATCTAAATTACATATCAACTTTTTGCAGTCACTGATCACTCAATAATTATTCTTAGCTTAATTTAACACGTAATTACTAGTCCACCAATAGTCCCCTAAAACTAACACACAGTCTTTTCGAATAGAGCGCAAAAATGCCGCCGCTGCACTGTTAACAATGAAATAATCGTATTCTTCGCGAAGTATGTTTGTTGAAAACTCGGACAGGAAAACGTATCGCTTGGCCTACGAGCACAAACAGACTGACTACCCATTGTAAAAAATCGAACTATTCTTCAAGCAAGCTCATCGGTAATTGCCCGCATCTGTGTAAACAAACTTATCGTTCGTACCCTCAGGCGGTGCCTTGGGTGACATCACCACCTGCGATTGTATGGTCCGTCATAAATATTTCTAGCTGCCTAGTTTATATTTTTACAATTGCAATTACGGAGCTATTTGATCCTCCGAGTAAGTAAGCAATTATGTACCTGATTCTCGAGCTTTGACACTGTTGTCTGCTGTCACTGGACAGTTCAAGTACCTGTACAACATTCTTCTTTTTGTATTTTTGTGACATCTACATAGCTCTTCGATGTTTAAACAACAACAGTCTTTTTTAAGATTAGAGATTATATTTACGGTAGATAAAGCTAGGTCATAGGAATACAGATAAATATTTATTAAAATCTTAAAACTAAGCATTTTTTTAAGGTTCCAGTTTTTTAACATTTAAAGTGGAGACCGAGGAATAACGCAGTGTTCCCCTGTTAGAAGAAGACAAGACAACGCAGAATTTGAAGACCTAGTTGAGAAGGTAGTCGGACCTAATGACAATTTAAAAGACGAACTGAATCAGTAAATTAAAAAACAAATCCATTTGTCTTCGGATGCTAAACAAATTGTTTCGGATGTTTACAATTTTATACGAAATTCAGAAGGGGAAGTAGAGCAGCAATAAAAACAAGATTGCATTCGAAAAATCGTCACTGGGTGGTGCAAGTTCGTAGCGTCCAACGCAAAGCAGCTTTTTATTATAAAAGGAAATAACTTCGCGGTTTTGTGTGGTAATGGGACGCATTGTTTTTTTATCATGCTCCTGCGGACCGCTATGGAACTTTCTCAAAATCGATGTAATTTAATTGTGCATGAACCCTGTATAAAATGTCCTTCACATCTCGTCGAACAACGGTAAATATTAAAATTTGCACAAATAATAGAGTTGTCGAATATTTCAAATATTTCAAATATCTCGCGCCCTGTATAATTGACGAAACCTGAAATTCTCTCACGACACGGTTTACGATACTGTCCAAATAAAATTATCCCATCTATAACGGTTTTTCATTTATCGCCAATAATTTACCCACAAAAACGGAAATTTTTAGGATATTTTATTTTAAAAATGCCTGAATAAATGTTATGTTGTTACAATTATGGAGGAAAACATTTTTCTGGAAGCTAAAATTTAAAAAAAAATCATATATATTTAAAAAATACTTAATATATAATAATACGTAATATTTGATTGCGCCCAATTGCTAGAGTTTAAATGGGGACACGGAATTTTAATTCTCTTCTAAATTTGAAGTTGATATCTGCAAAATTAGGACACTTAACACATTTCTCATTTAGCACGGAATATCGGGAACACCTTGTACAATAGGTGAAAACCCTAAATACAACAGTTTTTGCTGTCTATGCGGGCTATATCGCAATATAAAAGAAAATGAGACCTGAATCATCTGAATCATAGTCTTTCAGTTATAATCAATTTTTAATAATTAGGTGACCCATTTTTCAGTTTTTTTGAATTTGCGGCGCACCCTGTATATTTTTGAAAAATCGTCAAGAATAAAAAGTTTCTGCTGCTTCTTCTGAATCAAGAATTTTTTGGTCACGTAAACAGTTTTTGAAAAATGATATTTTTTGTAGACACTTGCACGCCCGATTTTTTATTTTTTTAGAATACTTCCCGACGACCCCCCAGCCCCCCCATTCCCAACAGGTTCCGTCACGGGGCAAAGCTGCATGCATATGCCAAACTTATCGTGTCCAATCCATGGTCCAAAAAACAGTATAAAATCGCAAAAAAAAGATGGATACCGGCGTCGGATCTGGGCCATTTCTTAAAGGCTTATGTGCTTCGTGGAAGGTTAAAAAGGAGGCAAATTTCAATTTTGTAGCCCCAACGGTTCGAAAGTTATTCAGGAAAAACCAAAAGACGAGAACGGAGAACGCAAAACGGAGAACGGACAAACAGACAAAACACTTTTTTTTTTCGACGGTGATCATTTCTGTACCAACGGCGATCCTGTAGAACCTACCATTACCAAGATCTAAAATTTTTTTTCGTGCGCAGATACTTTCGAAAAATTCGATTGCATCGATTTTCGAAAAATCATTGCTGGGCGGGGCAAGTTTGTCGCAAGTAGCGCCAATCAGCTTTTTATTTTTAAAAGAAGGCGCTTCGCTTATTCTTGTCCTAGAAGGACGCATTGTTTTTCTATCATGCTCCTCCGGACCACTATGGAACTTTCGCATAATCGATGTTATTTTATTGCGAATACACCCTGTATAAAATGTCCTTCACATCTCGTCGAACTTCAAAGTTACAGCAAACATCGGTAAATATTAAAATTTGCACAAAGAAAAGCGTTGTCGAATATTTCAAATATTTCAAATATCTCGCCCTCTGTGTAATTGACGAAACCTGAAACTAAAATCATTGCTAGGCGGTGCAAGTTCGTCGCAAATAGCGGCAATCAGCTTTTTATTTTAAAAAGAAGGCGCTTCGCTTATGAGATGAGATGCATTGTTTTTCTATCATGCTCCTCCGGACCACTATGGAACTTTCGCAAAATCGATGTTATTTTATTATGAATACACCATGTATAAAGTGTCCTTCATATCTCTTGGAACTTCAAAGTTACGCCAAACTTAAGTAAATATTAAAATTTGGACTGGTCGTTGCAATTTAAAATTATATTTTTTCAAATATCTCGGGCCCCCTGTATTATAGACGAAACCTTAAACTCTGTCTCGACACAGTTTACGATACTGTTCATATCAAATTATCACATCTTTAAAATTTTTTCACGTATCGCCAATAATTTACCTACAAAAGCGGAAATTTCTAGGATCTATTAGAATTTTTTGCCCACAAACGAGGTACCCTGTATATAATTGTAATGTTCTTAATGGAGGCTATAGCCCTGGATATCCTTAGTATCCTGATATTCGAATTTTTCCAATGTAAATGGTTTTCAAAAAACTACTTGCTTTCTGAAACCATGCAGTACTTGGTAAATGACGTCATCACGTCTAGATTGAGGAGGAGAAATGATGATTTTAATTTGGATTTTTTCAAATATCTCGGCCGTAGCCCTTGATACGGCCTATAACACTGTTTGAACAGATTAGCTATTGTTTGTACGAATTTTGATTTACGGTTAATAATTTACTCTCTAAAAGGACAATTTTCAGGGTCTAGGTTTTTGTCCAGAACTAAAACACCTTCTATATAATCGAAAAAATGCGTGCAACAAAAGTTATAGCGGTGTTTTTCTGGGTCCCAAAATAATCACAAAAAAACATTTAAAAAAATACTTGGCGTTATTTTATTGCTCCAAATTTAACGTCTAAATGCGGGTCCAGACTTCTACTTCTCTCCCAAGTCTGAAGTCGGTAGCTGCAAATTTGGAGTACTTATTATGTTTTTTAGTATTGCACAGATTTGAAATTGTTGCCAATTTTCAATAATAGGGGGACCCATTTTTCAGTTTTTTGTTTTTGCGGCGCACCCTGTATATTTTTGAAAAATTGTCAAGAATAAATATTTATGGAGTCGTTTCCTCTGCGTCTTTGGTGCAAATATAACCGGAGTATAAAACCTATTGCTGAAATAAGCATCAATACTCCGATTCTTCAATTCGTTCCGGAAAGAATTAGCCAAATTTTATAAATTGTCAAGATGATAACCAAGTGAAGTCCTTGTCAATTACGTAACTGATCATACCACAAAACATGAACAATTTATTAGATCGGGATTTATTAGATCCCGAACAGGGAACCCATTCATTTGCAGAGGAGACCAGCAACCAATCTAACAAATTGATGAGGATGGGCGAAATTCTAGTAGATTAACACATATCAGGAAAAAAACCTATTGCTTTATACTAGTGCCGATTTTAATATAAAAAAATTACTTAAAAATTAGTTTAAAATTATATAAATAAAAATAAGCAATGGTGTTTAAATTTGTTGCTTACTAATGGATCATACTATTTTTGAGGTTTGAATTTATGAGACTGCTAATGTTGGGGGAAGCCTTTAGTTGTGTTAGAAGATAAAATAATAAGATCACTTAATCAGTTTTTTTGCATATTTGAACGAATTAGTGGCCAAATTTTGTTAACACAAAACAATAAGTCCAAGGACACAGTTTTTTTTCTTAATGAACTTATGCAATGCGAGATTGCATGATCTGGCAACTCGACACCATGGCGTGGCTTATCGCCGTCGATATTTCAACCCATTGGTAAGCACAATTTTTCTCAATGTCTGCTTAGGAAAATAATTAAGTTCAGGATGAGGTTCGCATTTTAGCATTACCTAGCTAATAGTGTATGGCTAAAACTGGAGCTGTTATTATATATGCTAGTGATAATTATAATAGGCTCTTACCAGAAGAATTAGTTTAACAGTGACTTGCTTCATTTCACACTTTTTCATTTTCTCTACCGATAATGGCCATTACAAAGTGAATACTTTCTATGGTTTCTTTAGATCCGCAAAGCAGGGTGGAAATTTCCGTGTGCCAGGCAAAGAGCTCTCTGGATAAGTTTATTTTAAACTTTAAGGTCAGTTGATGAGCACCACGAGAGAGATGAGTAACCCTGTCTGGCATTTTTAAGAGAAGGGTGTCGCTTATATTTATCCACAGCCTCAAGACTTCTTTACGGACAAAAAATCTTGAGTTAGGCTCCTACACTGCTACATAGACCTAAAACAATGTTTTAGATCTATGATGGCCACTTAAGTAGCCGAACCTCAAAAATTAGATACATGAATCGAATTAAGAACAGACAACTGAGTTGCTCGAAATGCAAGCTACAGCATATCCCAGCGAAATTATTGTCTGCCTTATTTTAAAAATACAAAAACAAAACTCTCGAGATAAGATCAATATGGCGTAAACAACATCTACGTTTGAAAATATATATATTTCGAATACGCATGAGACATAATTCTGCAGGGGATTTGATAATAGTTTCATATTCATATTGGGCTTTCGCAATTAAAAAACAAATTTTATGGCAATATCTTATCCTTACGTAGTCCAGTTGAGCAAATACTATTGCTATTACGATTGCAATCAGATAAGTGCAAGATCTTATCCTGCTGCGATATATTCATTTTCCAAGTGTTTACATAAAAAGATCGAACGATAATGCAAACCGTGGACTTTAACCAGTACTTGTTTGTTTCGATTAGATAAAACAATATTTTTAACCTCAGAAAATGCTCTGTGGTGAGTGGATCCAAGAAGATAAGTCAGCGCCTTTTTGATTATAAAATAATTGACGGGAATCGACAAAAGTCATTAGTTTATGTGATTTAGAAACATCAGCTCAGTACACCAGCAACATGAAACTATTGGCGGCAGCTCTATCGGTCCTCTTGGTCTTCCAGGTGAGCAAACACTTTTCCAAGGAATAAATTGCAATAAAGAAACAAGATTATTCCTTATTCAGTTTTAGTATAGTGTTTCAAAATTGAGCTTTACTAATTTCAAAATGTCTACTAATTTACTTCAAAACCCTTTACTATAGCTCATTTTTTTGGGTTTTTATGTATTGCTAAAAATGATAAAAAATGTATGCACATATGTTTCGCATTGAATTTTGATTAAAATTGATCTAACATTAATTAGGATTTATCGTAAAACTTTACTACATATTTAATTGAATTCCTGCCAAATCCATAATTATAAAGTTGGCACTTGGAAACAACGCACCGAGGAATTCTGTAAAAAAGCAAAATGGGATACGAAGAATAAAGTATTCGTGAAAATCAACATGATGACGTTCACCGATATAAACAAAAAAAGTTAATTATTTGTAGAAACATAAATGTAAATAAATTAAATAAACAAATTGTCAAGATAGAAATCTCAACGAACGAATATTATATCTTAGTTGAAATATTTAAGCACTAATATAAAGCTAACTACAATTTTCCATAGGACATACTTCCGGCACCTCTATCCCTTTTGCATTCAGAAATTTGGTTGCAGTACCTGGTCACCTCTTTTTCCATCTAATCCATATAAAAGTCCTGCTGTACTCCCAAAAAATGGAATACCTCCATTGCCAACAACAATTCTAATGACCAGTTTTGGCAAATTTGATACTAAAGTGGGCATACGATATCGGCTACCTAAGCACCATTAACTAATTTCAACTTCCGAATTATTGCTTATTGCAATCTTCTGAGCTTAGCTGTATGCTTGTTTTGATGCCGATGTGTCCCCTATTTTATTAACGTCCACAACTTCGTTATGTACATTTTTCCTTTCCAAGTGAGCTGGGAATGATTATTTCCGGAGTGACTTTCATTGTTCTGGATTTTTTTTACTTTTAAGAAGCTGATTCTGTTAGAACGATACTTAGAATTTATTGAACACGCTGGAGGATAAGTATTCCCCAAAATGAATGGAGATTCGACCTTGCAACTTTTAAGGAGAAGAATAGGAGTTTGCTCCTGGTCTGTGCAGAGCCTCCATGTGCTGTCTTTGTCAACCTCCATTATATGGAGGTGTGTTGTTATATGGTAGCATTGAGTGATCATAATAGTACTAAAATTTAGAACATACTTTTGCTCCTGCCATTTTGAAGGTGCCACCATTTCTATAGCCGCGGAACCGACTGATTCTTCCAATTTATCTATTTGTTGGAGTTAAACTATTGAGCCATTGGTCGAAATGTAATTAATTCAATTTGAACATAAAAAAATGATGTTACAGGCCGCACAAGCCGACACTTCCCTTAGTGACGTCGTGAGAGCTGTTCTGCACAATGTCGTCACCGGTCTAGGAGACTTCGTGCAAGAATCCAAAAATTTAAATGAGGCAGCTCTTGGTAACATCACCGGGTTTTCCGAAGTGTTCCTGAAAATAAAACTGGCCATTGCTGATCAGATTTTCGATGGTACTGTTACGCTGGGTGGCACAACGAGACCATTCTAAAGCGCTTTATTGCAGGCGTCACCGAACAGCTGGGAGAACTGCTAACAAAGGTGGAAGCAAACACCACCACCGCTGGTGAAGCGATCATCAACTGCGTGAGGGACCAAAAATCGGCCGCGCAGGAAACTTTAACTAACGTTGTTACCGACATCAACGCCTGCGAAGAGACCAAGTTTGACGACCTAAACAAAGGTCAGAAAGTTATTGTGGACGCTCTCGATGCTTTCCAAGTCGCCCTTAAGAAAGTAGACGACGACTTCGAAAGTTGCTTCTTAGGCGACCTGTGCTTATTGCAGCTTGTCCAAGGTCTTCAAGGATTATCCGATGAAGCTTCTGGCGTAGGAGATGCCATAAAGGCGTTCATCGCCGAAGTGGCAGATTATGGCAACCAAATAGCCGCGTGTTCGTCAACCGAAGAGCCGGTTTTGCGGCAACAAGCCGAAGATATCTTTAACGCTGCAGCGGATTGCATTCAGACTAATATCAACGCTTAGATTTTTGCGAAATAAACATTTGTATTTTACTGCTACTTTCCGGAAATCATGCCCTTTGAATGCTACGGTTCCATTTTGATAACGTAATAACTGAGATAATGTTTGTTGCCATAATATTGAAAATAAATTTATCAGTGTCAGTGTATTAGATAAGTTCAGCTTAAGATCAACACCAAACGCTGTGTGAACTTCAGACCGTTATTTTTCAGTAGGGTAACATTTTATTGTTGACCTAAACGCTACTGCTCTTTACTTTATCATAACTGGAAGCATGGTGCTATTTGATTTATACTGGATCACAGTGATGTATCTGTGTGAAACATTGTGTAATAAAATCAGATAAAGACAGTGAAAGTACAAAGTTCTGGATGGATTGTGTACAATCTTAGTGCAGCCGTTTAGTTGTATTTTAAGGATACCATTTCAGATTAATACGAAAACACAATTATGTTTCTGTCATCTGGCTAATGTCATCATTTTAAAATCTTGCGTCGATTCATGATTATAAATTATTGAAATTTCAAGTCTAAATATGATAGTTTGCATTGATACAAGTGCGACAATCTGGGTATCAGTGGTAAAATTATATCTAGATCACTCTCAATTCGTGAGTGCGAATAATTATCAGTCTAGCGAAATAAATATGTCTTCAGGGGTGCCACAGGGATCGCATCTTCGACCACTCTTTACAACCATTTCCGTCTAACGATGTCTAGACGTCCTTGTAATAAATCACTTTCCTCTGTTTGCTAATAAATTGAATGTTGGTGTTTGTCAAACGATGCACTGGAGAATTTTATATTTCATTCATTAAATTTCTCTACTATGCAATTGTTCGTCCTCATATTGAGTCTTGAGTCTTCGCTAAACCTACTATAACGTACAGGGTGAATCCACATTATATCGTTGCCTTCAAAAGTTATGAGAAAATGGTCAATAAAAAACTAGTAGAGATTATTAGGATACACAATTGATACACGGTGGCCCAAAAAAGCATGACGATTTAAAGACACATTTTTCATTTTAAATTGTGCATCCTAACAATTTTACACTTTACTCTATCGTTGACTCATCCTGTATCGTACTGGCTTTTATCGCGTAATGGCAATTATGGAAGTTACCTCCTGTCGGCAATAACATTCGTGTCCGGTAGGTATTAAAGGGACGGATTCTGAAAGGTTTTGGTAATAATTTTTTTTTGTTTATTTAGGTGTGTATATTCTTACTTACTTAAATTACACTAAGAAAAAACAATGACATAAATATATACAATAAATTCATAGCCAGAAATATCTATAAATAACTTCATTTTTATTCTACATGTCTAAATCAAATTATGTTTCACCATCAGAGTCGTCATTAATTATAATAGGATTTATGTTATTTTGTATAGAAATGTAAGAATACTCAATTTTTATAATGTGCTGTACTAGATTTTTCCAGCTCTCAATTGGTATGTTATTAATTACATTTTTTATAAAATTTATAATTTTTTGTTCCGAGCTTTGATTTCGGTTGGTTCCACAAATGATCTACGAGATGCCATAAAGGCGCAAGACGTAAAACAGTATTCCCAGCCTGTTGAACCAAATTATCACATATATACTGTTTTTTAATTGCATATAATTTAGGAGTGTTTTCGGAGCGCGAGCATTGAAGATGCCAAGTGAGATTTTGGCGAAACGTCTACAGGATTCCAGTCGGAGTTCAACAAACGAATGGATGACATCCCGAAATCTAGTGTCATCACATATTTCCATCCGTGAATATATATGTATATATATATATATATATATATATATATATATATATATATATATATATATATATATATATATATATATATATATATATATATATATATATATATATATATATATATATATATATATATACATTTGTGATTCGTACGCCAAGGCAAGAACGTTATTGTTTTTGGCAATGATGTATGTTGTGGTTCTTTTTTCACAAACAGCGCTAATAATAGACATTTAAAAAAATAATAATAAATTTTTTTTGAGAAAGACCTGGGTTGCCGGTCGAAACGTCAATGACAATTACAGTGTTTTAAAATTATTTGTGAGTTTTGTTCACTGTGGACCAAATCCTAAGAATCATCCTATAAAAAAAAATATACAAGGATCCAAGAAAAGCATATTTTTCAACTATATATATATATATATATATATATATATATATATATATATATATATATATATATATATATATATATATATATATATATATATATATATATATATATATATATATATATATATATATATATATATATATATATATATATATATATATCAAATAATATATAATAATATAAGAAATATTCCCAATAACACTGTTATTGGGAATATTTCTTAAAAGATTATTTTGAAACCAATTCTCAAAAAATCGCTATTGAATCCTCATCATAATCCAAGCTAGAATCTTTAATATTCTTTGCAGACAACGGCAAGCAGTTAGGGACAAGTCCGTCTTCTGACCCAGCGTGGAATCAACCCATCCTTTGTATATAGTGTCATGTATATCGAGCCTTGTTTCATCAAGGTAAATTATGGATCTGTTGACTAATATATATTTTTAAAGTCAGCAAGTTTGATTCATAACCAACCGACGCCAGAAGATTTGTAAATACTGGCATATTTGCGAGGGTAATCTGATAAATTTACGATTTCAAAAAATTGCCATGTCTTTCTTAATATGAAAGATATCTTGACTTGGCAGAAACCTTTTTGGTTAAAGAAATAAAATGCCACAATTAAAATTTGAATTCGAAGCTTTGTTATTCATGTCAGAGTTAACATCTGATATTTTTGAAGAGTAAAGTTAAAGTTTTACAAAGTTTTGTAGGTGACAATAGAACAAAAGTTCTAGAGGTATTTCACAGATTAATATACATCTATTTAATTTTAATAGTGCAAAATTTTGATGAAACCAAGAAATATTTATCAAAAATTAACTAACGAAATTAATGCGCTTATGCGCGAGATTTTAGTTAGGTAATAATTTTAATCCTATCGTTGGTCGTTAGTATTGCTATAGATAATTAATTGTGTTACAAGTGCGGGAAAATTATAATATATTAATAAACGCTGCTCACGATCAAGAGATTTCTTTAGTGGGTTTGCTTGTGTTATATTTGCCGTATTATAAAAATGTAATAATAATAACTGTAGAATAATGTTTATTTGGTAAATATATTATTATTATTATTATTATTATTACTATTATTATTTAGAAATATTTTTATTTTTCTATTCTTCTTAGTCTCATTTCCATACCTATTACTTCCCTCACGTTTAGCAGCTTAGCATTATATATTTTATAAGTTTAGAAAGACCTGGCCGTAGTTTTCAAGCCTATTGAGGTACTGCTGTATTTTAATGCGGTCACCTTACGAAATATTTTTAGATTGTTGGCATGTATGTTGCATTGTTTGAAACGGTTATTATATATACCAAAAACAAGTTATTTCAGATGGCTACCTTGGACGATTCCTGAATTTACGCGAAACTCTTCCTTAATAAATAATGCTTAGTTTCGTCGAAATTTCCCTCAATAAAAATTAAATAGATGTGTATTAATCTATGACATACCCCTAGAGCAACAATGGACCTTTTGTTCTATTGTCACCTACAAAACTTTGTAAAACTTTAACTTCATTCTTCCAAAATATCACATTTTTACTCTGACATGAAAAACAAAGCTTCGAATTCAAATTTTAAATGTGGCATTTTATTTCTTCAACCAAAAACATTTCTGCCACGTCAAAATATCTTTCATATTAAGGAAGATATAGCAATATTTTAAAATCGTTAATTTATCAGATCACTCTCGTAGATGCTACTCGAAATCCAAATATGCCACTATTTACAAATTTTCTGGCGTCGGTTGGATATAAATCAAACTAATTTGAAATTAATATTGTTTATATTTCGATTCGAGGTACTGAGGGTTTATCAAAGATATGACCCAGTTCAGATCAAGTTTATTTTTTAATTTTGCAGTTAATATTAATATTTTTAAAATGGAAATCTAATTAAACTCAAAACCACTATAAGGTTGCGATGTTGAGCGGGGCATTTAATATCGAGCTTAAACTAAAACGGGAAATCAGCCTGGTACGTAGGGTTTAAATAAATAACAGTGCCCAAGTGCTAGGAGCAAAAAAATCCTTTTCATATTATCGTCAAAGGACGAGGCTTATTTTAATATGGAAAACGTTATATTAATATTTTTTAATTTCAAGAAAGCGAAGTAGAATATTCGACTGCGTCGTATAGAGTGGAGCTTGTAAGTTTTCGCAATTTAAAAATTACCACGCTTCGGAGCACTTTACAGTGTCATCCGTAGCTTCTGAATCATTATATTTAAACGAAACGAAACATATACAGGATGAGTTAAAAAACAGGTGCCAATTCCAAGTCACCACTCTCGAATTCTTTACCTTAATTATTAATTAATTATCCCTAATTTGCCTTATTTTGTGGTCCCCCTTCTGCCAATCCACTGCCCGCGAAATACCGGATCTAAATATTCTAGCACTTGCGGAGCACCATCCTGTTGAACCCAAATCTTACCAATTATACATTTAAGTTGCACATTTCCATCAGAGTGTCACAAAACCGTAGTCTGTGGCCGGGATCATCTTCGTTCAGCTCCTTGTATGGATGTAGATTAGCTTTTTGGGCGAGCTGCCCCTATACTAAATCTTACATGCACTGTTTCTATAAATTTTCTCTCAATATTACTCACTGTCCATCTTACGATGGGTATTTTTGGCGTTAAGCAAATAACAAAATTCTTTTTGAGGTCTCGTTGTGTCTCATATTTTCTATTTATTGCAATAAATCCCAGAGAAAAAATTATGATGGACGTGTGCCAGCATTTTTCATGAAATCTCTCATGTTTATTCACTGTTCACGTTGCAATGGGTATTTCCGGATATTTTGCGATAAGCAAATTACAAAATTCTTTTTGAGGTCTCGTTGTGTCTCATATTTTCTATTTATTGCAATAAATCCCAGACAAAAAATTATGATGGACGTGTGCCAGCATTTTTCATGAAATCTCTCATGTTTATTCACTGTTCACGTTGCAATGGGTATTTCCGGATATTTTGCGATAAGCAAATTACAAAATTCTTTTTGAGGTCTCGTTGTGTCTCATATTTTCTATTTATTGCAATAAATCCCAGAGAAAAAATTATGATGGACGTGTGCCAGCCTTTTTCATGAAATCTCTCATGTTTATTCACTGTTCACGTTGCAATGGGTATTTCCGGATATTTTGCGATAAGCAAATTACAAAATTCTTTTTGAGGTCTCGTTGTGTCTCATATTTTCTATTTATTGCAATAAATCCCAGAGAAAAAATTATGATGGACGTGTGCCAGCATTTTTCATGAAATCTCTCATGTTTATTCACTGTTCACGTTGCAATGGGTATTTCCGGATATTTTGCGATAAGCAAATTACAAAATTCTTTTTGAGGTCTCGTTGTGTCTTATATTTTCTATTTATTGCAATAAATCCCAGAGAAAAAATTATGATGGACGTGTGCCAGCATTTTTCATGAAATCTCTCATGTTTATTCACTGTTCACCTTGCAATGGGTATTTTCGGATATTTTGCGATAAGCAAATTACAAAATTCTTTTTGAGGTCTCGTTGTGTCTCCATATCCAATAAAAAACAAAATTTCAATTCATTTAGATACACCTTTTTTGACTGACAGAAATGTAATTATAGGAATTGGTTAACTTAACAGGTTATTATTAGTTCTTCTTTTGCTCATCAAAAAGGGAGAGATAAGCTACATGAATTAGGCGTGAAAGTTGACGCAGAATTCAGTTTTAAAAAATTGTGTTTAAAATGTTTAAAAAACGGAACTTGGTGTATAATATATATTTTCTATTTATTGCTATAAATCTTGCAATGGGTATTTCTGGATATTTTGCGTTAAGCAAATTACAAAATTCTTTTTGAGTTCTCGTTTTGTCTCCATATCCAATAAAACACAAAATTTCAATTCATTTAGATGCGCTTATCTTGATTGACAGAAATGTAATTGTAGCAATTGAAGAACTTTACTGGTTACTATTATTTGTTCTTTTGTTTATGAAGAGTGAGAGATAAGCTACATGAATTAGGCATCAAAGTTGAAGCAGAATTCGGTTTAAAAAAATTGTGTTTGAAATGTTTAAAAAAGAGGACTTGGTATATACTGTATATTTTCTATTTATTTCAATAAATGCCCAAAAAATTTTTTTGAAATCCAGTACCTGATTTTTAAATGAA